CCACGTTCACAGTTTCCGAATGTCAATGCTCTGCCACAGGAAAGGGGGCCACACACAGCCCTAATGCAGGCCCCACGCGGGCTGCGACTTCCCGCTGCAGGAGTGACGAGCTGGTGAGTGAACAGCGGGGGCACCATTTATGAGGAGCTGCGTCTCACTGGGCCTGCGTGCTGGCGTGACACGTACCATCGGTCCGGGCTCCCCAGGCTCCCCGGGAGGTCCTGCAGGGCCAACGCCGCCCTGAAATGAGAATGACGTACAGAGACCATTACGGACAAGCCATAGGGAGAGTCCTGAGCCTTGCGCTCCCCGAGGTGCCGTGCAGCGGCTCCAACCCCTGGGGCACCACTCCAGCCACGGGGCTGGGGGAGTTGCTTACTCGGCCACAACTCCATGAGGTTTCCAATCTGTGAAATAGAATAATACGGCACCCACTTCATTAGGCTTTTATATCTCTTTAGATCATTAATGCACCGTGAGAACCTAGACTAGTGCTGGCACAGTGTTCAGTCAGTGGTAGTTATCTCCTTCCTCCTCCTCCTCCTCTTCCTCCTCCTTCCTCTTCTTCAATGACAACTATGTTTTCTATTCACCAATGGCAGTGACATAAAATAGCTTAAAGTGAAACTCCATACCCATGATAATGACAGTATGGTATCATTGACTGAGACAAGAATTCTTTTTTCTTTCTTTCTTTCTTTGGAAAAATTATGTTCTACTGCCTGACAACTCACTACAAAAACTAAAACAGCTCCGCACCATTATTCAGCTGGTGTGCGACAGGCTGCAGAAAAGCGGGCAGTGGTGTATTCTCTTAAAGCACATGCGTGGTCGCCATGGCTGTGGATTCTAACAATACCATGTGGCCTTCCCTCTGTGGTCTGGCACACACCGACTCTGAGCATCTCCGTCCCGACAGGTTATTTCAGAAGCAAGGGCACAGAAAGTGCTTTGGACAGGAGGGCAGTCACACAAAGGAGCCAGACAATAAGACCTTAGCCCCATCCACAACTTTGCAAATCACGCTGCACGTTTCTAAAGAAGTAAAGATTAACTGAACTCAACCCCGTCAGTGTCAAGGCCAGCCGAAGCAGCCATGCCACAGAGGCCTCATTTCGATGTTTCTCTCTGTGCGACAGGATGCAATTTAATTACAAAAAGACTTACTTGCTGCCCTTGTAAACCTTGAGGTCCCCTGGGGCCAACAGGACCCTAAAAGCAAGTGAGAAGAAAAGTTACGCACTCTTCGTGACAATTAGGTCAAACATTTAAAAAATGCGGCGTTGGCTTTAGAGTCTGGGCAGCGGGAGCTGAAGGCTCCCAGCTGTGTCCTCTGGAATGTGGCTAAGTCCAAGGGCCTGGATCGGGTGCCACGGGGGGGGGGGTTCATACGCTCTGTGAGCTCACAAAGAGAAGTGCAGGACACGCCTGTGCCCCGTGGGCCTGTCAAAGGGAACGTCTGAGACGGGAGGTCCTGCAGGCCCAGAGCCTTGTCCCGCGCCCGGCGCGTCAACCTGCAGCCGGTGACGCATCACCTGAAGGTGCCAGTCCGACTGAGGCTCATGAAACGCCAACGATAATGACCCGGTTATTTCAAAGGTGAACTTAGAATTATGGGGGGAGGGGCTGAGTTTTCTAGATGATTCCTTTTTTATTAACGTCCACGTGGAGTTCCCTCACAGGCTTTCCCTTTTCATTTAAACATGAGGTGAGTCAGGGAGTCATAACCAAGGGAAGGAAAGGGAGATGCAATTTTAAAAAACTGGTTAATAAAAAAAAAATAAATAAATAAAAAAAAATAAAAAACTGGTTAATAAACGCCTATACAACGTCTTAAATGTCACATTTTAAAAAGTGAAATCAATGAAATCAAAATCAAGCTTGTTCTTGTGATAAAAAGTTATTTTTATTTT